CTCCGCCCGAGGGGGCGGCGGGACCCAGGGCAGCCATCGGCGGGGGCTGAACCGCACCGGGGCGCGGAGTCGCGCCGCCCCGCAGCGCCGGGCGGGGGCCGRGAAGCTCCGCGGGTTCCCGCGCCGCTCCGCCCGCACCTGCCGGGCCGCCCCGCCTTCCCCCGGCCGCCGCTCCGAGCCCTCCTCCGCGCCCGGCCAGCGCCTCCCCGCGGAACGSTGCAGGAGTGGAGGGGGGCCTGGCCTCCCTCATCCCACCCCGGCATCCCGCCCGGCATCTTGGGCCCCGACGCCCCTCACAGCCCGCGAGGGAWGACGGCAGCGCCCGCTGGCACCTGCCCGCTGCCCTGAGGAGATGGCGGGGCCAGRGTCGGCGGGGCTGGGTCCCCGGCACTGGGGGTGCAGGAGGGGAGGGAGGAAGGGTGGGAGAAGCAGCTGGGAAGGGCTCTCCATGCCACCTGGGAAGGGCCCAAAGCCATTGGGGCGTGGCGCACTCTGGGTGCTTGGTCCGGAGAAACGCGGTGTTCCACGGCTTCGGTGGTGKTTAATGCTTAAACCTCATAAACCTAAAACCTGGACCCATGACTTAATGGCGTGCTGGGCCCGAGCTGCTCCTCATGGCCCAGAGCTTGCAAGAGCCGGCGCTCTGAGGCAGCTGGTGAAAGCTGGAGGGTTGGGGAAGGACTACAGCCTTCCTTATCCCTGAGCACGCAGCCTGTGCCCTCAGCCTGACCTGAGGTGTGCGGGGCACATCCCACCTCCTGCTAATTCACAGGTATGGATCAGAGAGATTTGTTCCCTCTCTCCCTGTTGAGTAATCCTGTACTTGGAGAGAAATAGGAAGCAGGGCCCCTGCGTTTTCAACTTCACTGAGCTGAAAAAGGAAGCCAGTGATGTGGAAATTAGGTTAAACCGCCTAAGTAGGCAGCTTTCTGCACGTAACTAATCTGGCTGCTGCATATAGCAGTGCTCAAGTGAATTCCAGCTCAGTGGGTAACACTGGGACAAATCCAGGTTCCTCTGCTTAGTTTGCAGGCAAGTGCCTGGGAGAAGGGATGCAAAGTGAAGAGAAAAATAGGGTGTGGAGGGGAATATGAAGCAGTTCTCCTCCATTGAAAGGGAGGAGCAGATCACCTCAGCTGAGGATGCAGGTTAGGTCCTGAATGAGACAAGGGGAGCAGCAGCTTTTAGACTTTGGCTGCAGCATCCAACTCCCAGTTTGGGTATCACCATGTCTACACCTCCCTCTTTCTTTCCCTGTTGAACAGAGATGCGTGACCTTGATTCTGTTCCTGCAAGATGCACCAAGAACAGATGACTGGCCTGGCAACTMATCTATGCTGGGTTATGAGCAGCAGCTGCAAGCATCCAGCTGTGGTACAGCTGTGGTACTGTGGCTTTCAGAAAAGGAGCAGCTCATCTCCAAGGTTACATTGAAAGACCAAGGTGAGAATGGGATCCTGTGTATTGCAGGGTGGTGAGGGACAAAGGCTGGATTTCAGAGTGGTGAACAGGGGTGGCCAGGAAAATCCCATCTGCTGCTACTGCATACAGGTCAACTAGAAGGCTACGCTGAGACTCACCTCTCAATTACCTCCAGGCACTAGTCAACCCATGCTTTTTTAAACAGACTATTATTAGAGAAGTGCTTGGAGCAGAGCCCCTGGGACATGTCCCACTTCCATTGACAGCAGCAATGTCCCGAAACATTGATGAAGATGCCCCAGTGCATCTTCACTGCCTGTTGTCAGGAGCAAGAGCACATTGAGAAGACAAGTGTCCTACCTACTTAATGCTCAATTAATCGAAAAAAAGTGGCACAGGAGCTAATGGTTCAAAGCTTTAGCTCACCAAACCTAATGCAGGGGACTTTGGCAATGTTATTTTGTGCAGAACTAGGTATTTCTTCCTTGCCATGTGCCATCACCCAGCAGGTATGAGGAAGGTCATTTATGTTTACCTGCTGGGGACAGAAAGAATGACATCATTAAGAGTTAACACATAAACAAACAGTGGATGAATAGCAACTAGAATGAGTAGACCCAGGAAGGAAAACAAATGGGAGAAGAACAACCTAAATGTAACCCAAAATCACAACTGAGGTGACCATTAGTGCAAGGATGGACTGTAAGAAGAGTTGGACTCCCAGGTACTGCATAGAAGCGGAGGTCATAGATGCTTTTAATATACATTTTTAGCTTTAATATACAGCTTCCTCTTTCTAATCTGACAGCTTTTTATTAATGTTCATTCCATGTTTATTAAAGAGGGGCTTACAGAGCTACCTTTAYTCAAAAGGGGGAAGTGATGAAGGGGTTATTTCAGATTTGCTGCAAGGGAGAAAAGAGAAAATTATCTGAGATATGCTGCAAGAGCTGTGTCAGGAAACAAAGGCAGAGATAGTGTTGCACGATAGGGTTGTAAGGCTTGTTCTGATAACTAGAGGACTTGAGTAAGCATTGAGATGCCCTCCCACAAGGACTTTAATAAGCCTGCGTGCTCAGCATGCTCCCTGGAACTGCAGCATGCATGCATTTCCCTGAAAAAACGTGTCCTTCTCTGTCAGTGAAAGGCAATGCTGAAGCTCTCAGCTGAGTACTGAATTTCTGGCAGTACAGAACAGTTCAGCTTCCAGCTGCTGCTGCACAGAGAATTAATCAGGGCTGAAGAACTGGAGCAGAGCAAGCCCCACAGGTTCCAAGATGGTGGTTRGTTGTCACCCTGATCATGTCAACAGCTGACAACACACAAGCTGCTCAGGGGAAGCAAGAGGAATTTGCTTACTGCTCTTCTCTGTGCTTTGAGTGAAAACACAGGGCACAGCTTCACCCCTCTGGTTCAGCCAAGTGGCTCAATGCAGGARGGAGCACAGCTGTTCTCCAACTGTAGAAATCAGTCCTGATTCAAGTTTGGTGCAGAGCAATTTTTTCTTCTCAGCTGAACTTACTCCAGTGATAATTGTTTCTTTTTTCCTTCCCCCCTGCCTGCCCTAATTCCACAGTTTGCAACAAGAGAAACAGATCCATTCTTGGCTGCCAGAGTAACAACCGTGAATTAGAAACCAACCTCCTTTGGAAATATAAAGAGGGAAATACCAGAAGCAGCATTACAAATTAACACTTCCATTTTGTCAAATTTCAAAGCAATAGAAATTCTAGGAGGTTAAAGTGGTTCAATTGGAGACTAGTAGCCCAAATAAGTAAATAATTCCCCCAAGTAACTTGCTCTGAGTGCTGTTCTTCAGCCAAAATGTTTCCCAAGGGGGCGGGTCAGGACGGGAGAAGAGAGTGAGGGAACCTGTCTGGTATACAGGATTGTTACCAGACAAGCTTTTTGCCCTTCAAAGGGGAAAAATTATGAATGTGGGAATTAGGAAATAGTGGAAAGTAGGTCTGTGAGTGAAAATGCTCAAGTCTTTTTTTCAACTGAAGCAGACGACCAGCCCGATTACAGTAGCTGGCACCATCTTCCTCTTTCACTGCACAATGGCACCAGTCTGAATGCCACTACAGCTGCATCCTTTCCCATTGATAAAAACAAGCRACAAAAGAGTGTAGTTCCAACATACTGTCTGCCTTGTGCACTTGTGGGTACACCAAGAAAGAGCAACATCCTGCGTTTTACTCTGCGTGGGCTTAAGGATGAACTTCTCTGAGGGGTGCCTCCTCTCCCCCAGACATCCAGAACTACAGGGAGAGAAAAGATGAAAGCCAGTTACCAGCAAACAGCTTCCACTCACAGACTAGTAAACCACTACAGCAGACCACTACAGAGCAGAGGGAAGGCTGAACTACTCAGCTGTGAGTTACTGCAGTGCACATAAGCCTAGACTGGGCTGCTCTGCTTACCCATCCTTACTGGAGCTTTCCTGTATCAAAACAYTGGAGATTATATGCCAACTCTATTTCCATTGCACACTCATCTATTTCTCCCTTTGTTAAATGGAAACACCAGAGAAAAGTTTGCCAGAGATCCTCAAGTCCTTTCAAAAAAAGGCCTAGACTCAGCTTGAAAAGCCAGGCAATACACACAGAMTGGGTGTCTGGGGAACAGGATACCACCCCTGCCCAGAGGTGACAGTCCTGTGGCTGGGAGACATGAGGGCAAGCAGCACAAGGGTGGCTGAACCGGCCTCCTAATAGAAATATCCACTGAAGATCATGCACAAATATGCTGCCTCTGCAAGTCCCACTGAGCAGCAKGGGCAGAAGGGTGGCAGGAACAAAAGGTACTGTGAAAGCATGGGGACAGATACATTTCTGACATACACAGGAAAAGGGATGGTGATGTGAGTTAGCATCCTGGACCAAGTGAAGAGAGAGGGATCAATCTGAAACACAAGACAGAGCATGTGGTTAAAAATTGTGCTGTTCCTGAAAATTGTCAGAGAAAGTGAAGTTCCTTTGCCTTCTGAACTACTGTGCCTTTGAAAAAAGTGCCCAGAACAGGCCATATATCACAGAACATTTGAAGGATAGCAGAAAATTGCAAAGAATCCTGCTTCGAGTCTAGGACAGGACAGATAAAAGTGCAAGACCCAATACCACGCTCCCATTAGACAAGCAGGTTCAAGCATAAGACATCACTCAGCACCAACATCAATTTAATTCTTCCCTCCTCAGGACAGGAACAGGGCAGATACTCCTGGAGTTACATCAGCAAGCGGAAAGAAGGCTAAGGGACAAACTGCGCTGGGAAATCCCAGCTAAACATGCAGGCAACAGAACCACTCTACTCAAGACAGCCCAGACCTGGATGGGGGAAGAGTGTAGTTCTTCTGAGTTACTGAGGTGCAACTCACCTCAGCTGAGTCCACTCAGCTGCCCAAAACTGTAACCCAAAGAACAGGTCCAGGAAAACAAAGCAAATCATCTTCTTGCTGTTCTGTCCTGTTCCTAAGAGGCAGCAGTTTACTGTGGCCCTATGCACCCCAAAAGTAGTGAAGGAAGCAAGTCCAAGTCCGTAAAACTACAGGGTCAATGCAATGGCTTTGGCTGTTGTGTTCAATACAGCATTGGAAACAACTGGAATGTCTCGGGCAACTCTCTGAAAGGGTGGCATATTGGCTGCTTCCCATGTATCCAGGATACCTGCAGGAACAGAAAAAAGGGGAGAGAAGCAAGAGTTAGTTCAGATGACAGCAGACTGCACATTGCTTCTTGCTTKTCTCTCTGGCCAGGTAGTGGTGATAGGGTGATAGGGTCCAGAACAGGTGAAGCACTTGCAGGCAATGGGAGGAGACATCTAGCCCCAAAGACTGGAATAGGAGTAAACACTTCCATCCAGAGACCACAGGGCACACATCAGAGCTTGTGCTTGTGGCAGGAAAACTGCACATTCCCAAGAGGAACACAGATCCTTTTGCTTTGAAGGTGTAAGATCCAGTCTCCTGCCGTTTGACCTGAATGCAGGTACTGCCAGGAATGGTGCTCTCATGATGGAAATGGATAAAATCCTGCTCCTTTTTCATCCTAGCACAGATCTTGCTCTTGGACCAAGATTCTCTGCTTTTATCCTGAGATACACTTGCAGATTAACATCAGGAGCTGCAGCTAGGCTGCAATGTGCAATTTTTATCACTGCAATCCAAACAGGTCATGCTTGGCAAGAAATCCACCAATACAAATGTCCTCAAGTCCCTGTCAATTACCATCTAATATAATAATTAGCTTACTGGGTAATCAGTTTTGGAGTGCCTTGAAGAAAATTGCTTGGAGTATATTTTATTCCGTTTCATCTGCCAAAAAGCTGCAGATCAGAACCTTCGCCAATAGAACAGATTCAGGAAAGAACAAATTTATACCTAAAAGGACTTGTAATGCTATGTATAACCCCTAATTATGCAGATTTATCAGAAAAATCACAAACAGGTCTGTCTGCCTAAACTCATATAGAGACTTGCAGAATTGCATATTTWGGGATCTGGAAATTCTCTAGAGGTGGGGTGGGAGAAGAGTTTTGGTTTTTTGGGTTTTTTRAGGAGGTTGAGACTTTTTTAGGAGAAAATAAGAAGAGACATGGAAGGAGGACCTGAACATGTATGGCCTGATTACCAGTATCAGCTGGGGAATATACAGCTTCTGCTATCTGTGCTGTACAACACAAAGTAAAAAAAGGTGTTAAAGAAGGAAAGAAGGAAAATGACACACATCTGGATCAGAGAAAAGCAACCTGACTTCAGCAATATTCAGCAAGGGACTGGAGATCTGCATGCAAGAATAGTCAGTGCTGTTACACCTCATTTGTGGGGAAATAATAAAGGTCCTGCCTCACAAATTGGGTCTTAAGTGCTAAAACTCAAAGCACAGAACTACCCCAACATTTACCTGCTGCCCTATTTCAACAGCTTCTAAAAAAAAACTAGTGGTGTTCACTCTAGAGTTGGAAACTGGCACAGATGTCCGCAGGACAGATTCAATCTGTCCAGCCTTTCTCTAGAGAGAGAAAAAACAACTTCTCTTCCCCCAGATCTAACAGGATATCTTCATATCTCCCTTGCTTACCTTCTACCACCTTGTGATAAGCAAAGTGCAGATAGAGGAGGAAAAGCATATGCAGAGCAGCAAGTGTCCCACACAGGATGAGCCGCTGGGTATGTCCCACGGTGCGTGACACCAACACAGCAACCTAGGAGAGAGGAGGTGATCAGAGACAAGGCAGCTGCTACCTGAGCCTCTGGCATTGCAGTCAGGAACAGAAGAAGAATCAGCCAAGCAGTGAATCTGCTGAAATGCTGCACTGAGTCTTTTTTTCAGTTTTCACCAACAAATATAGAGTAATTTGACACTGTTTTGTGTAGGTGAACCTTGCCCAGTCTTGCCAAGAGTGCTGGATGCTCAGGCATGACTCTCCACAGCAACAAGGACTGAAAGGGAGTAAATACACCTCCTGCTGGCTGTAGGCATGGGTGAGGATATYAATCCAAGCAGCACCTCCATTCACCAGTGGCCAGATTATGCAGAAACATTGGGCTGTTCTCCACAGCAGCTCGACTGGCTGTGAAATGAACCACCAGGCCAAGGAACAGAAAGCAAACAACACTTCCCTCCCTTTTTTTTTTTGTCCCAGCAAGAGGAGGAGCCCAGGCTGCCTGTCCCTTACCATTCGTAGTGTAGAGAGTCCACCAACAACCAACCAGAAGATATAGAAGAGGGAGTGGAAGTGGATATTATAGGTGACAAAGAGAGTGATGCAGTGTCCGAAAAGACCGTAGCCCTACCAAAACAAAAATGTTCATGTTACAAGCACCAGTCCCACACAAAGGGCCATTGATCAAGAGCATGMACAGCCTATACCTGCAACACTCCACCACGGAAAAGCCTCACAAACCACTCATTCAGTGCCCAACAGTCAACCAGAACAACAAGTTTAACAGCATAACAGCAGCTCACACACAGATAATCTGTCTAAAGGATTCACAGGCATSTCAGAGATTACGACAACTTGGGAAACAGCAAAGATCTTCCAATTCTAGAGAAATAATTTTCTGGGGGTGGTTTTTTACCACCAGGTTCTCAAATCAGAAAGTGCAAAGCAGAAGACCTCCACGAAGGAACTGCCTCTTTGTACTATTGCTGTGCCTGGGACAGGGCAGGTCAGAAAGCATCCTAGAATTCCAGGTAGTCCCAGTGAAGTTACCTGGAACAAGCAATTTACAAAGACTTTTCCCATTTTTTGGGAAAAGCTTATTCTGGAACACCATGCAGCCAATGTGCATCATAGGGCAGCTCCATGAGTACGTACCAACAGTGACAGCATCTGCACCATCGTGATTTGGGCATTGCACAGATATGCCAGGAAATACATGAAAGATGAGACGCCCAGCCAGTAACCGAAGCAGGTGCCAATGGCTGTGCCCATCAGTGTGCCTTCCCTCTGTGGAGACAGTGTCAGGATGAGGAGAACTCAAAGAAGTGACCTGTCAGCACCCACATTTCACCTGAGAGTCCCAGACCTTTTGCAAACATTATCAAATAGCTGGCTAGCAGTGTTCAGGAGGCCACAGGACCTACACTCCATGCTCTCCCAGCAGCAGAGTGACAAGATTTTCTGGTGCATCCCTCCTCCCACCCCCAAACCAACATATTTTTCCTCAAACCAATCTCCATTTCAGCAAGACGCTTATTCAGTTATGAAAGAGCTTTCCTCTCTATTTCTAGTGTCACTACAGCAACGCAGAGCCCAGTCAAACACCAATTATCACTGAGATTTGACATACAATGATGGTGTCTGAGGTCTTCATTCCATGCAAAAGAATGGCCACCAGTGTGAAAACCAGCATGAGGGGTCCGTACAGCTCGCCTGCAATCTTCTACAGGAGGAGACAGGTGAGAGAAAGTTTGGTTAGTGCCCCTGAATACCAGGGTCCCCACCACAGACAATGTGAGACAAGCACTGGATGGAGTTTAACCAGTACAGTGGTTAGGGTTARGGTTAGTTAGGGTTAGTGGCCACAGGGTTATCACCTTAGTGGCTTAGGTGAGAGCACACTAAGATTTGGAACAACCATGGAAAGGAATGACCAACATTTTCAGGAAGATGATCACCTAACAAACTCAGTCTTTAATAACATGGATTTTTTCAGTTTTACAAGGGGTCTGTGGGACTGTCACTTAGCCATGGAGTCTGATTCAGCAAAAGGGAACTCACCTGTGGGAAATTAATCATCTTCACAGGAATCATGGACTCCAGCAGTCTGCATCAGAGGAAAGCAAGGAATGACAACAGGATGGTTAACAAAATACTTCATAAGTAAAAGATCCCAYGCACCCATTACCAGCATTTGCTGTCGTGTTCACAGGTCTTGAGGGACAGARATTCTTTCTAAAGGGTGACTCAAGGTCACTTAAGAAAAACCACTTTGCTGGGGAGGGGTAAATTCAAGGAAAAAGTTTAGGGATCCACTCAGGAATGAGAGATCATTGACAGAAGAGCAGGAAGGAAAGGAAACTTTCCTCATAAAAGCTCACAAAACTTTGCCTTGTTGGACACAACTGTGTTGCAAACCCAAGAGAAGCCACATAAGGCAGCCAAGTAAGAAAAGAGCTCCTTCTCCTTCCCTGAGTGGCAATGCCGGGTGACAGGGCTGCCAGCCCAACCACGGGAGCTCACTAAGGAGAGCGGGACAACGCAGTGTGTTTCCCCATACGTGTGTCCTCCTGCAGGGTTGACAGCCCTCTCCTGCTCGCTCGGAGCTGATAGCCAGCCTGTTGCAGGCAGGGAGCCGCTGAGTCCCTGTGCACCGCGCCTGGGACTGCCCACCTGGCTCGCACTTGGACGGGCTCCACATCGAAGTAGGGCCGGAGGATGTCGATGTTGGCGTAGAGGCTGAAGGCCCTGGAGGCTTGTCGCTTTCCCACCTGCCACATCTGCGGAGACAAAGGAGCGGGCAGCGGCCGGGCGGGCAGGCGGGGACCCCAGGGGCTGGGGCCGGCCGGGACACAGCGCTCACCTGGTCAGCGACCTGTCGGCCCAGCTGCCCCCGCAGCCCCTTCATGCCCAGGAACTCCCCGTCCTCCTCCTCGCCGGCACCCGCCTCGCCCTCCGCCTCCTCCTCCTCCTCCTCCTCCTTCATGCGCTGGTGCATCTCTCCCATGTCCTCGAAGCTGGAGCCCGACGTGTCGTCCATGTTCTCCATGTCGATGACGGCGGAGCCGCCACCCTGCGCCGGGGCAGACACGGCGTCAGCACCCTCTCGGCCCGGCCCCGCCACCCCGCCACCGCCCGCGGCCTGGCCCCACCTGCATGTTGTCCTCGAAGCCGCCCCATTCGGCGGCGGGGGCACCGCTCCTGCCGCCTCCCGCCGCCCCCGGCGCGGCCATGGTGCAGCTCCCGGCCCCGCCGCGCTGGCCCGGATGGGCAGGAAGCGGATGTGACGGCGGCCGTGGAGCACCGAGCACCGCCCGTCGCCCCCATGGCGGCCCGGCGGGGCGCGGACGAGATGCGGGACCGCGTGGTGCTGGGCGAGTTCGGCGTCCGCAACGTGAGCGAGCCCGGCGGGGCGGGGCGGGGGGCACCCGGCGCCCGCACCCCCTCACGGCCCCGCCTGTGCCCTCTCCTCGCAGGTCCACACCACCGACTTCCCGGGCAACTACCCCGGCTACGAGGACGCCTGGGACCAGCGGCGCTTCGAAGAGGTG